TCAACGCCAATGGAATTGGTTGGCTTCCATTGATTTCATTCAGAAATTATTCTCAATGGAGCAATGGAACAATGTCAATGGAGTTGTTCTCTATTCGTCCCAATGGATAAATATGCCAACCCTGCGCGCAGGTGATCGAAATAATGCGAAGGTCCCGTAACTTCGGAAATTTACTACCGTAAATTCTCGCAATAGCGGACATCTGCACGCTATTTTAACTACGTGCGCGTTATTTCGAATACGCCCATGGACGTTATTTCGAGATAAAGTATTAATTCTGTTACTAATGTTATAAAAAGATCGAATGAATAAGTATCGAGATACAAGACTTCTGATATGCTACCGATATGCTATATTTGGCGGTAAATCAGGTGCACATCGGGAGTTTTGTATTCCGATATTTACCTGATACTTACTCTTCGAGGTACGTACGCGCTATTTCGGGACGCGCATGGGCGTTATTTCGAAACCACCTATGCTACGTATTTTTAGGGAGCGCGATTTTCAAAATAACGCCCCTATGTTTTCTATGCTTAGAATATATAAAATATATATTACTCTAAGCATGGTTTTGCTGTGAAAGAACCCAATTGAATTATTTTCTCGAAAATGACGATACATATCATTCGTGTAATTTATCGATAATTTTATATATTTTCAATCGTAATAAGATTTAATAAAATAATATAAAGTCTTGAATTTTATTCGAATTTAAAAACATGTTTATTAAATGTCTTAGTAATAATAAAGATAATAAAAAGAGAAAAAATTGATAAAACATAAAATAACTATCTACAAATTTACAAAGTTTTTATAAATTGCAGAAGTTTGTACAATAAATTCTATTTCCTATATATATATTATTGTCCTATATATTATTGTTCGGTTAATTATAACTAATTAGAAGAATTATTAACAATCACAAATGCATCATCGTTCTCATCGTTCTCTTTATTTATATCTTCCACGTCCTCCATAGGTGATAGAATTGTTTGTTCATCACTTTGAGATTGTTCTTTAATTTCAGTTAAGGCAGCTTCATTGCTTTCTTCTGAATTTTCGGCAACAACAATTAGCGGCTCGCGAACGTTCACGGTTTCATCATTGTTAAGATTTATAGATGAATTAGAATCAGATGTGATGTCGTCAATAAAATCAAAATCTTTTTCGTCGTCGCCTGTATTGATATTTTTCATGTTTTCAATTTTATTTTCAACTTTCGTTTCGTCTGGTGATGAAATTGTATATGGCTTAATTCCTTCTATCTCTGATGCTTCATTTGAAGTATTGATAATTTCTTCGTTAACTACGTCCTCCTCTTTATTATCGTCTTCCATTTTTTCAATAATATCTTTGTCGGTAACTTCTTCAATAGCTATATCCTTTTTATCACCTTCGATGCTTTCAGTAATTATATCCTCCTTATCATCATCCATTTTTTCAATATTTTCACTATTTTCTATACTATCACAAAATAACTTCCACTGCCTCTCTTTTTCAGCATCCAATTCTTCCAACATTTTTTGAGCAATTTTAACAATTTCTTTTCTTCTTTCCCGAACGATCTCATTTCCTTCACTTTGTACTTTATCTAGTTGATCCAGAATTCTCAATATAGCGTCTTCTTGTGTAAGAAACATTTTATTATTATTCGAAATTGGTAATATTTGTTTTTCGGCATCTTTACTCGTAAAAGTAAGCGGTTCAAAATTTGAAATTTGAGAACTTAAGGAATTGAGTTGATTTTGTACATTACGAAGGTGTAAGAGTCTTCCAAGAATTTTTCTAGTTCTACGTGTCGAAGGTTGATATTTTAGAAAGTTATAAATTTTTTTTGCAGCTTGTTGTTTAGTGAGGGCATTATTATTCTTATGGTTATTAATATTTGGTTCATCTTCAGGGCCGAAAATTTTTACTTTTCTAAATCCATTTCTTCTCTTTTCCTTCTCGTAGTCTTTCTCTTCACCCTGTCTTTCGTTGTGATATCTTCCGTTATGTCTTTCATTATAATGTCTTCCATTATTATATCTTTCATTATGATGTCTTTCATTATGATTTTGGTTATGGTTAAGTCCAGAGACCAAATTTATTATATTCTCTGGATCATAATATGATTCGTGGAGATGGTATGGATTAGGATAATGTCGACTTGGAGGATTTTGGAAACTTAAGAACGGTTGAGAACTTGGATACGAATATGCGCAAGGTTGAGGATTGTAGTAACGACGACGACGATTATTATTATAATACGGGCTTGGATCGTAAATATAATCGATGTCTGTTGGAAATGCAAACATTTTGACTTTTTTTATAATAAAAAGGTTTTTTTATTTAATATTTGAAAGTTATTTGATGGAAGTTATTTAATATTATATATTAATATTATTTAATGTCCGAATTATAACGTTTTTTAATATTTATTTATCGTCAATTTACTTTTAAGTATTAATTAATTTCGAAACTTTTAAATTTTCACAAGCCCAAAAATCCACATATTTTATATTTTTTGTTCTCATTATTAACTCAATTCTTAGTTGTCTCTACAAAGTACTGGAATTTCAATAATCTCGATAACAAATCATGACATGATTTTCGTGCATTTTGTAGACTTTGCTAGAAATTTATCATTTCCTTATTTGTCGAACATAATAATTTTTTAACTACCGCTACACCCCAGGATAAATTGGTAAATTATGATGTCATTGGTTTAGGTTAAGAGTCACATGATATTTCCTTCTAGAACTACTTTACGTAGCAAGATATATAGTTACATATCGATGGGCTAATTTGAACGTCATTACAGCATTATACGCGCTGTACGAACCACACCCACCGGATTTTAGCAGTATAAAATAGCATTAGCGATATCGTGAAAAATTTTCTTATTTTTATTCCATAAACATTCCGATACAGATGAAATTAATTAATTTCGGTCAGATTTGATTGTGGTTGTAATATCACTAGTGCTACCTTTGAATAACAGAAATGGAAAACTTATGAATTATATTGGTATATCAACAAGTTATTTAAGTACTGTACATCCCTTGAAATAGCAATCGTAATTGTGCTCGAATTGTTACCCGCCTACTTAAAAACGTGATTATTAATACTGGAGAGAGAACATAGTCACGTGATCGTTCTTCTGAGATACATTAAGTTAGGCCTGTGCTGTTCATAACTTGTGTTTATTCCAGCACCTTCGATTGATATTATGTCATCCTACATATGCCATTTGCTGTTTGCATTGACATTCCCACGTCCAATTATTCACCCTTTCCTTTTTCCAGGCTATTGCGGCACATGATATTAGGGTGTTTCATGCAAGTCTAAAGAAACGCAAAAAAAAAAAAAAAAACATAAATCGTTCATAAGTCAAGATTTCATAGGAAATGCTTCTGCGCACTAACTAAAAGTTTTCCTTGGTATTAGTAAAGTTCTTATAATCAACGTAATAGCAAACTGTAACCTTAATTTAACTGCGAAATCTTAAATTTTTTAAATTGGTGATATTAGGGTCTTAGTTATTAAGTCATAATAATGATCATTAGTCAAGTTTTTTTTTATAATTAGCGATAACGTAAATAGTAAAACATATAAAGTTAAAATTGTAAGAACTCTTGAATCAGCAGACCCACATAAATAAAAATTATATTTGTTGGATTCATTTTAATTATTATTTGGAGACCCAAAGTGATCCAAAATTCTCGTTTTTTGAGCATTTTAATAAAAATATCAAAAACGTAAATTTGCAGATAGAAAATTCAAAGTTATGTTTTGTTATTTTTATTAATAAATGAGGAGATTTGATGTCAAGAAATTATAGTATAACTCAAGAATAGATACGCACTCTAACAATAGATAAGAGCTTCGCAGCAGAAGGTGCTTGGACTTCTCTTCTGTTGCGAATTTCCATGTGTTATTTTGGTTTAAACTGAAAAAAAAAAGTTTTTACTATAAATTTAGCATTATTTAATCAAATTTTAATCCTTTATGGATATCCTAATTCTTCTATCATGGCACTCAATACCTTGAAATTTGGATGGTCCTACAATATTAAATCTTACTATTTTACTATTGGCTTAAGACGTTTTGTTTCAATATAATTGGAACTTATGCAGTGATATTATAACATTATAGCTTATAATAAATTTAAATATAAAATTTACGAAAAAATCATTTAAATTCTAGAAACTAATAGAAGGAATAGTACAAACAACATTTTCCTTCTTGATGTAACCCAAAAGAATAATTATAAATGCGCTACTTCTTATGACCCTATCAAGTCATTTCAATTAGCATCAACAATACCATCATCGATGCTTCACCTAATTTTTACACCATCTAGCACTAATGTTGGCGCAGTTATTGTAGAACCGGATTTAATAAAACATTTTATAAAAGTCTTTACCCATATCGGGTTGGTAATTTTTAACCAATGTATTAATTACTTATTACTCCACGTGCATTAACGATAACCGTTAAATGTATGCTTCAGCCCATAGATTAATACTGCGCCCTGATGACCGACTCGGCAAGTAGAAAAAATAATCACTGCGCAAAGTGGGCCATTGAATAAATAAACCTGCCCAAGTGATATGTGTTTGTTAGAATTGCATATAAAATTTATCTGTATAACCTTGCAAGGCTTATCGCTATGCACAATTTCAAAGTGCCATTTTTCATTTTTCTGGAATTAGTACCTTGGTCAATTAACTCCTGCCACATATCGATATGTTCTGACTTTATTTTGTGGGGAGCCAACTCCGGTAGAGCGATTATCCGTTTCCAGAATAATTCATGAGCTGTGGAGTGTTTTTGGCATAGAAACAGAAAATTTGGATTGCGAACGTATTATGAATCTGTTAGAAGATATGTCAGATGAAGATATTGATAATGGT